GATGTCCATTTTGACGAAATGGCAGTTAAAAAAAAAAAAAAAAAAAAGGTTGCAGGGTGCGCAAGGCTCCTCTAAAACTCTAACCTCTTCCGGTACTAGTGGGATTTGTCCAGACGGTTTGCTTGGTCTTGTGCGAGTGTTATATCGGGATAAGACCGGAACTTTTGCCTCTTTTCCGGTACCTGTGACGGCGGGGGCTCCCCCTCCGTGGAAGTGTACAGATTCCTGTTACAGTTGAAGTCAGCAGCCACTGCAAGCAAGCAGCTCATTGGGGTCGGAGGTCAATCTGTCTACAGTTCACAATTAATCTACGGCCCTACGGGTTTGTTGCTGGAATTGGTTTCGATTTTTTCGGAGAAGGATGTTGACAATTTTCTTCCTTTTTTTTTGCGGTCCTTAATTCTGGCCCGGAGTCTTATACCGTCTGCCTTCCATTTCTGCCATTGTGCTATAGCCCATTCCTCACCCCGAACACCGCGTCCCCCTTACACTCCGGAGTTCGGGTCTGATCCCACCACTACACTACGCAAGTAGTGACGAAAATGCACTACAATAGTGTCAGCGTCAGCTACGGGCCCGGCTACAGACAGCGGATCCGACGACACCGACTTCCTCGGTGGTTTTCCTGGACCCGCGGCGACTTTCCATGGGCTGCATTTTTAGGACGGACATTTCTGTTGTACCGCCAGACGACATGTCACACATGCATGTGGACCTCGGACGTTCCTAACGGGCTGGACGGACAACTGAAAAAAAACACACACAAAAAAAAATGTTCCCTCTTTTTCGCGGCCGTTGTGCCCAAACCGTCTACACAAAAAATGTAGTAACTTTGCTCGAGCCCTTCGCGGGCGTGCTGCCACGACATTCCGACAAAATGCGTGCAAAATATTTCGGCGAACTCCACAACCGTAGTGTAGTGGTGGGATCCCGAAACTACAGTGTAACACGCTGTGGGATCCGAAAACTACAGTGTAACTGGGCTGTAGTGTAGTGGTGGGATCAGACCCTTCTTCTCTGCCATCCTGACGGCGGCTTCCGGCTCTTACATTTTTCGTGTTTCATAGAGATTTATGATGCTTATTCGACAGAGAGTTTTTTTTTGCAATTTGTATTCCACTTGACGACATTGTGAATGTTTGGTGTGTGTTCACAGCTTAAATAATAAAATTGGTGTTGTCAGCTTAAATAATAAAATTGGTGTTGTCAGCTAAATAAATAAAATTGGTGTTGACAGCTTAAATAATAAAATTGGAGATTTTTATTTTTTTTTGCTTGAGCTCGTGATTGGGTTGGCCTCGTGATTGGTTTTGGATTCTTGTATTTCAATTGAGTGATCGTTTCCGGAATTCTTGAATCGTTCAAGATCTGATTCATTGTTTGAACCACCAGTACTTGGCCCAGCTATTGGCCGCGGAGAAAAAAATAGAGTAGAAAGTACTAGAAACGTTTTAGTAGGATGAATTTGGGCGCTCCTGTAGTGGCCCGTACATTTCATTAAATCGTAACTGTGTCTTGTATACGGGCACGACTTTCGGAAGTACTGCAGTGGTTTAATGTTTGGTAGAGGAATGTGTGGAAGTGGAATTTCAAACTTGGTAGTCGCCAAGCTCTGAGTATGTATGAGCCTATGAGGTGTGTGAGTCAGTATACAGTTGGACGTTGTCAATACTTGCTACGAGTGAGTTGGTGATGGCTTCAACTTGAACACAACGCCACAGCCATCACCAAAAGGTCATGACTATGCGATAAAAAAAAAAAAAAAAAAAAAAAAAAAAAAAAGGAATCCCACTCATCCAACAAAAGCCAAGAAAGTTGAAGCAACACATGCGAGTTTCCAGAAGTACCAGACAGCAAATACATAACACGGGACAACAACCCTTGGCCAGAAAAAAACGCATGCAAAGGAAACAATAGCAGGAAGAAGTGCATCGATCGATCTTAAAAATAATTGGTCATCGTCGTCGTCATCATCATCATCATCATCATCCTCAGCATCCTCATCCTCATCCTCATCATCATCATCATCATCATTATTAGTATTATATTAGTATTATTTAACCATAGTAATTATTACCATCAATTATCAATCATGATCATCATAATCGTACTCTGTTGAGGACATTGGAAAGTAATTTCAATCACATGATGGACAGCTAGAACAGCTAGAATGACAGAATTTAGCAAATGGGACATGAAAGGTGAATCATTGAAGGAGAGACATGTGTGCATTAAAAGCACATTTCCAGATGAAATTGTTGTGGAGTGAATTGAATTCCCAACTCAACAGAGCCTCCAGAAATACAATCTTATCGGATAGCATAGCGATCCTGCATGCAATACAGCATACACCTTTCCCTGCTTTTTTGTCAATCATCCTGACGAATGAATGCCTTTCCTTATCACACCGAAGACTTCTTCACAGATTACACTTCCGTTCTTCTGGAAGCGTTGAGACTCTATTGACCNCTCTCTCTCTCTCTCTCTCTCTCTCTCTCTCTCTCTCTCTCTCTCTCTCTCTCTCTCTCTCTCTCTCTCTCTCTCTCTCTCTCTCTTCCCCTTCCTCTCTGCCTCTCTTCCCCACCATTATTGTCCCCTTTCACTGGAAAAAAAAAACACTGGATGCCCCCTCCTTCCATCATATCGACCTATGCTCATGTTGCTCGGTCCATCGCTCTCTCTTATCGAACTCTACAGCTGTCTACCAACCTGTCTATGCATCGATTTATCGATTTATCGATCGATCAATCTATCGACTGATCAATCGGTCGATCTATCGATCTACCGATCCTCTCTCTCTCTCTCTCTCTCTCTCTCTCTCTCTCTCTCTCTCTCTCTCTCTCTCTCTCTCTCTCTCTCTCTCTCTCATCATAACCAGGGCAATTACCGAAACGGGCAATAAAAAAACAAAATGAAGCAAACGAAAAATAGGGAAGGAAGAAGAAAAACACCAACATGACAAAGGAAAAATAATAAATAAAATGTGCGATCACCGATGGCTATCCACTGTCATCTGCTGTCGCAGCAGCAGTGATGTATACAGGGGCATCACTGAAGCAGCAGTGATGTATGGGGACATCACTGCAACAACCAAGGTTCTTGATGTAGCGCACCTATTGCCAACAATCTAGGCCCCGAGCAAAACGCTCTAATAGGTCTGCTAACATCCTCTCTCAACTCCCTCCCCCTCCCCCTCCTCCTCTCCTCCCCCTCTACCCTCCTCAAATGAAATGCCAGAAGCGTTGCCGCCACCAAGCATTTCAGGCAGTGAAATTTACGCCAGAACTTCCCCTTCGCACAGGGATGCCTCATGGCACATCGGGTGGTGACTACACATGTCACCATGCCACTTGGCATCGTCCCACATGTCACAGATGTGTGACAAGCTGTGGAACCGGTCTATGCCTCCAGGTCTGTCCTGCGTTTAAACGAACTGCATCGATCTATCTATATAATATATATATACATATACATGTATTAAATCATACATATACATGTATATATGTATATATCAACAAGTGAACTGCCTATGTTATTCCAAACACCTCAACTTCTCCTCATAAACAAGAATCTATCTCCCCGCTCTGCTTTTCGTGAAGAAAAAAAAAAATACTAACACTGCGGAGGGATCACCACCAGCCGGCCCACTCCACAGTCTATGTACATAAGCCTATCTACGTAAAATTTAGAACTTGAAAGCCAACGGCAGATGGGAGTGGAGTCAAATGAACTCATCATCTGCACCCGCCTCTGCATCTACACTCCCGAAAATTCACGGAGTCGTTCTCCAGACGTTTACACTGCATTGCATGAAACTCTCCCCTTTAGCGAACTGCAAGTCTATCCTTTGGCAGAAAGAGCAAGCGGCAACCTCACTCAGCGTACTGTAATGGCTAGTATGCGGTGATGTCCTTAGAACCAGTGGTATCGAACTCGTCATCTGCACCCACCTTTGCATCTATACCCCTGAAAATTCACGGAGACGCTCTCCAGACCTTTGCACTCCATGCATGGAACCTTCCTTTGCGAAGTCTATCCTTTGGCAGAAAGAGCAAGCGCCAACCTCACTCAGCGTACTGTACTGACTACTGTGCGGCAATGCCCTTAAAACCATTTCAGAATCTATACTTTGTCATTTCCTGCCAAAGGAGACTGTTTTCACAGTCCATTACAGCGAGTGGACAACCACACAACAGACAGCACAGCTGTCTACCCTCACTCAAAGGCAACAGCATGTGCTTCTCAGTGCATATTAAGCTTCCGACTTTCTAAGTTCTAAAATACAAGACGTCAGACGGGTAGATAGTGGCCAACACCTGAAGCAGGGGCACAGCAAGCTGCACTATACATAGCACGTACGTAACAACAGAGTCAGTCTCTACTCGAGCTCTCCGTGCATACCACATACCACGCATTTCAGGTAAGCACATACAGCTGGGCTCTACCAGCTAGCTCTCCCTGCATACCAAATAGCACATAAGGACATACAGATAGTCTCTGTGCGAGAGCTCCCCCTGCACCTCAAGAAGAGCTCTCTCATTCCCAGTGTAACTTCAACTGGAAATGTTCTTTTTGTTCTTCGATAACCGAAACAACACAGTTGGCTGCTGTGTGTTGCAAAACTGGGTTGTCTCCGGCACCACTTCAGCCGTTTCAAGGAAGAACACAAACAACTTGCGCACTCGATAAATCATGACAGCACCCAGTTCATGCCCATGAGAGCTTTGCCCAGCACTTCGGAGGAGGTTTTCCTTTGTGGGTACAGCTCACAAAGAACTCACTCCTTGCTGTGCAGAGCCAACAGCACAACAGCATAGTGCTGCTTCTATTGCCTCCCTCACAGCTGTCACTTGCCGGTTGGTTGCAGTTGGTAAAGGTCCTGCCGGCCTCCGGGCATGTGGTTTCGAACTCAGGAGTCAGGGCTCTCCTCCTTCCTCTCGTCTTGGATAGACCTCCGGTACCCTGATGATCGACGCAAGAGGGGGGACCGTGAACTGTCTCTCGGCTGTGCAGAACCTTGATCACAGCAGCATGCTGTTTCAGTTGCTTCCCTCACAGTCGTCACTCGCCGGTTGGTTGCAATCAATAAATGTCCTGCCGACCTCCTGGCCGTTGGTGCTTTCCAACTCAGGGCTCCTCCTTTCTCTCGCTAAGACCTCAGGTACCCTGATTACCAACTCATGGGGGGGGCTGACACCACTGTTTCTCCTACATTCCGCTGCTGCCTCGCTTGGCTGCATCGTGGTGTCCATTTCATCACCTGAGTGCAAGCGGATAGCCAAATTATCACCAGCAGCTTCATACGAATCGGTGGCATGAATCGCTGCTGTCCGCTGCTGCACTCTCTCTCTCTCCCTCTTGGAGGCTTCCAGATCCCAACCACATCCTTCCCTTGTCTTGCACTCATCTTGATGCCCGTTGGCCCAGCCTACATCACCTTTAACTATGGTTTGAAGACGTTCCTGTGAGCTTACCGCATCCATCAAGTAGATGCCATCCGCAGCGTTCGTCCCTGTGCCACCAGGAGCCCGACTTGACTTCAGCGCTCCTCTCAGAGCATTGGAGTACCGTACAATGTCGTTCATGAAGCCTGCATCATTTCAGACCAAGCCAAACAAAACAAAAAAAACAGAAGCTTCAGGACACAGAAGAGAGAGGCGTAAAGATCTTGGTAGAATGGAGAGGGAGTGGAACCAAGGAGGCCACAAAGATACGTACGAAGATAGGTACTAGGCTAAAAGGCAACGGTGCTATATTTTTTTGAAAGTACAAGGAAGGAACAAGAAACTGGAATTGCCAAAATAGAATTAGGGGCAATAGTAGAAAACGAGTAATGGGGGTGGTAGTGGTTACAAAGACAATTGTCACAATAGAGATATGTGTAAGAAATAGTTCCTTTTTGTCTCAGAAGTATGAAACCAGTAGGTCGACAGGCGGCCTGAGGAACTGCCACAGAAGTTCCCCCTAGTGCCTGGCCTTTCTGGGTTTTGAACTGTCGCCTGACTGGGTGCTGCTAGACTAAGTAAGCTTCCCGACCTAAAGGCCAACCCCCTATGAAAGGCCAAGGCTTGGGGGGGGGGGGGGATGCACTTTAGCAGCCCGCCTCTTGATAGATGACTAGTACCACAAGAGCGGGACCGTTGCTTTCCTTTTGTCTGATCTCCCCGCTTCCTTGGATGGATGTAAAAACTTGCTTGCCACTGATAAGTAACCGGACCGATGCCCACCAGAAAAGAAGGGGCTGTTTTGTTTGTTAAAAAAAAAAAAAAAAGAGAAGTGCGCCACTCAAAAAAGAAAAGAGAAGTGCGTCACTGGCGGTTCGAAAAAGCTTGGCAGCAGTGCAGCCAGTGCTTGGGTCCAGAAGTTTCGCACACGCCTCATAGACATATGGGACCACGCTGGCGTTTCAGCAGAGCTTGGTGCACAGGGGGAATCCACCTAAGCAAAAAGAGGCACGGGCGTACTGGTGGTTTAAGCCTTTGAAACTTTGAAGGTTTTGCACGAGAACAAGGGAGGGTTTACTGGGAAGAGGGGAAGGTGGAAAGGGGGGAAGGG